GACAGAGAGAAAGGTCTTCCTTTTGCCGTTGGTTCACCCTCCAATGGCCGCCGCGGCCGGCGCCCTGCAGCCGGCACATCGCGCTGATCCGAAGCCAGGAGCCAGGTGCTTCTCCTGGTCTCACATGGGGTGCAAGGACCCAAGGACTTGCGCCATCCTCCACTGCACTCCCGGGCCATAGCAGAATCTGGCGCCCCAACCGGGACTGGAACCCAGTGTGCTGGTGCCGCAAGGCTGAGGATTAGCGTAGTGAGCCACAGCGCCGGCACTCAGATTTCATTTTTTTTTTACTGCTGTAAAGTATTCTTTAGAGTACATGTCCCATAATTTTTTTTTTTTTTTTTGACAGGCAGAGTGGACAGTGAGAGAGAGAGACAGAGAGAAAGGTCTTCCTTTTGCCGTTGGTTCACCCTCCAATGGCCACAGCGCACTGCACTGATCCGATGGCAGGAGCCAGGTACTTCTCCTGGTCTCCCATGGGGTGCAGGGCCCAAGTACTTGGGCCATCCTCCACTGCACTTCCTGGCCACAGCAGAGCGCTGGCCTGGAAGAGGGGCAACCGGGACAGACTCCGGCGCCCTGACCAGGATTAGAACCTGGTGTGCCGGCGCCGCAAGGTGGAGGATTAGCCTAGTGAGCCATGGCGCCAGCCCCCATAATGTCTTTATCCAGTCTACTGTTGATGGGCATTTGGGTTGATTCCAGGTCTTAGGTATTGTGAATTGAGCTGCAATTAAGGTGCAGACAGCTTTTTGTTTGCCAATTAATTTCCTTTGGGTAAATTCCAAGGAGTGGGATGGCTGGGTTGAATGGTAGGGTTATATTCAGGTTTCTGAGGAATCTCCAGACTGACTTCCACAGTGGCTTGACCAGTTTGCATTCCCACCAACAGTGGGTTAGTGTCCCTTTTTCCCCACATCCTCGCCAGCATCTGTTGTTGGCAGATTTCTGTATGTGAGCCATTCTAACCGGGGTGAGGTGAAACCTCATTGTGGTTTTGATTTGCATTTCCCTGATTGGTAGCAATCCTGAACATTTTTTCATGTGTCTGTTGGCCATTTGGATTTCCTCTTTTGAAAAATGTCTAGGGCTGGCACCCTGACTCACTTGGCTAATCCTCGGCCTGCAGCGCCAGCATCACATATGGGCTCCGGATTCTAGTCCCAGTTCTCCTTTTCTAGTCCAGCTCTCTGTTGTGGCCCGGGAAGGCAGTGGAGGATGGCCCAAGTGCTTGGACACCTGCACCTGTTTGGGAGACCAGGAGGAAGCACTTGGCTCCTGGCTTCGGATGGGCATAGCTCTGGCCATAGCAGCCATTTGGGTAGTGAACCAATGGAAGAAAGACCTTTCCCTCTGTCTCTTCCTCTTAATGTCTGTAATTCTACCTGTCAAATAAATAAATTAATTAATCTTAAAAAAAAAAGAAAAATGTCTATTGAGATCCTTGGCCCATCTCTATTTTATTTTATTATTTATTTATATATTTATTGACAGGCAGAGTGGACAGTGAGAGAGAGAGACAGAGAGAAAGGTCTTCCTTTTGCCCTTGGTTCACCCTCCATTGGCTGCTGCGGCCTGCGCCCTGCAGCCGACACATTGCGCTGATCCGAAGCCAGGAGCCAGGTATTCTCCTGGTCTCTCATGCGGGTGCAGGACCCAAGGACTTGGGCCATCCTCCACTGCACTCCCAGGCCATAGCAGAGAGCTGCTTGGCCCATCTCTTAATTGGGTTGTTTGTTTTGTTGTTGTGGAATTTCTTGATCTCTTTGTAGATTCTGGTTATTAATCCTTTATCTGTTGCATAGTTTGCAAATATTTTTTCCCATTCTGTCGGTTGCCTCTTCACTTTCCTGACTGTTTCTTTTGCAGTACAGAAACTTCTCAATTTGATGCAATCCCAATTGTTAATTTTGGCTTTGACTGCCTGTGCCTCCAGGGTCTTTTCCAAGAAGCCTTTGCCGGTGCCTATATATTGCAGGGTTTCTCCAATGTTCTCTAATAAATTGATGGTGTCGGGTTGTAGATTTAGATCTTTAATCCATGTTGAGTGGATTTTTGTGTAAGGTGTAAGGTAGGGGTCTTGCTTCATGCAAGTAGTTCTAATTTAAATAAACAGTGATCTTAAGACCCTCTCTATGGTCCTTCTCTTCCAACCCAGGCACCCCAACAAATCATAAGTAACGTGTGGAGAATTTTGTAATCCAATGTGGTTTTTGAAAAATTGCAAGGAAAGGTTTTGAGTCTCTTCAGCCCTTAAATAACTCACAAAGAGAGAAGCAAGAGTGGGAAAATGTGTGCTCAATTGTGAACTGATTCACAATGTTGAGATGTAATTGACTTCTCTCTTTGAACAATATAAGCAGTTGTACATCTGCTATGCATACTGACATAGGAAGCAAGATGAGTGCCAACTCATCTATCATAATTTAGACAATGAGAATTAGGAGTATGTTCTCATCTGTCGACTGACCAAGACTTTCCCAGTCCTTGACAACCATCTTGGCTTGTGCAGAAACTGAAACAAACTGTGTAAATTAAAAACATTTTTGCGTTCAAGGATCAGAGGTTTGCCCTCAGACTTTCTGCCACAGCCTGTGTGACTTTACTCTATGCTGTTACTCTTCGTACGATTTTGTGTCTTATCCATGTTATTGCTATTCATAAGATGCTTTTGACAAAGAGCCAACAGAGATTCCTCCAGCTTTGCCATTCATTTGCATGGAATGATATGTAATTAACAAGTTCCAATTTTCACCAGCCCATGTGAAAGGGTGTATTTCCTTCAGCATCTGAAATCTCCGTCTTCTTGGATTCCAGGTTCCTGGTTTCAGCCTGGCCCAGCCCCAGTCATTGTAGCCATTTGGAGAGTGAACCAACAGATGAAAGATTGCTTCCTCTCTCCTTCTTTCTTCTCTCCTACCTCCCCACTCCCTCTGTTACTCTGCCTTTCAAATAAATAAATTAAAAAAAAAATCTCTATCTCTCTCTCTCCCCTTCAAAATCCATCACTTCTGACATCCTGGGTCTGAGAAGTGAGTACAAGCCATTGGAGGTAACACCATTTCCCTACTGACACACAAGCTAGGATAAGTATTTTGCCAGTAAATCTACTTGTCATTTTTCTATCTGTGTCTCTCAAATATATGTCAGTAGAGGGTGCTATGATCTGGAACCTTGTCTCCTTTCCTTTTTTTTTTTTTTTTTTTGACAGGCAGAGTGGACAGTGAGAGAGAGACAGAGAGAAAGGTCTTCCTTTGCCGTTGGTTCACCCTCCAATGGCCGCCATGGCCAGCGCACCGCGCTGATCCGAAGGCAGGAGCCAGGAGCTTCTCCTGGTCTCCCATGGGGTGCAGGGCCCAAGCACTTGGGTCATCTTCCACTGCACTCCCTGGCCACAGCAGAGAGCTGGCCTGGAAGAGGGGCAACCGGGACAGAATCCGGCACCCTGACCAGGACTAGAACCCGGTGTGCTGGTACCGCAGGCGGAGGATTAGCCTATTGAGCCATGGCGCCGGCCCCTTGTCTCCTTTCCATAAGGGGTTTTCAGTATGGAAAATTAGAACAACATAATTGTTAAGAGAAAAAAACCTTGAAGTCACTCTGCCTGAATTGAAATGCCAGTTCCATTACTTCTTGGTTATGAAATCTTTGATGGATTAATGAACCCCTCTGTTGAATATTGGTTAATGAAAGAGTCAGCTCCAGTGTGAGAAGTAGATGGAAGACAGGTTTGGATATGCAAGACGTTGGGAGAACCACCTACGTTTGTGCAAGAGGGAGAGAGAAAGAATATGCATGGAGAACTTTTTTTTTAGATTTATTTATTTATCTGAAAGTCAGAGTTACACAGAGAGGGGAGAGGCAGGTAGAGAGAGAGAGAGAGACAGAGAGAGAGAGAGAGAGGTCTTCCATCCACTGGTTCACTCCCCAGTTGGCCGCAATGGCCGGGGCTGCGCTGATCTGAAGCCAGGAGCTTCTTCTGGGTCTCCCACATGGGTGCAGGGGCCCAAGGACTTGGCCATCTTCTACTGCTTTCCCAGGCCATAGCGGAGAGCTGGGTCGGAAGTGGAGTGGCCGAGTCTCGAATGGGTGCCCATTTAGGATGTTGGCGCTTCAGGCAGGGCGTTAACCCACTGCACCACAGCGCCGGCCCCATGGAAAACTTTCAGATCACAATGCAAGCCTAATAACGATGAAAAGTGAGAAGAAAGAATTGTGTGTAGAAAGAGCCTCAGTCTGGCAGTGCAGTTCTGAGAAACTCTTGGCCAGGCTGATGGAGAGTTCCTGACAAAACATTGCCTATTAGAAGAGTTCTGTGTTGGATACAATGGTTTGTCTTCAGTCAATGACTGAGAGCAGCCCAGGGACAGAGTGGCTTTGGAGTGAATGCTGCAATAGATTCTCCCATGTACGGCAGCTGGTCAGCTATGGCTCTTCTAAGCAGTTTGCCTCTTGAAGGAAGATCTGATCAGTGTACACTTTGGATGTTATACACAGTCGCTCTGTAACAGAGCAATTACAATGAAGAAAGGATTTAATCCATGAAATGCATTTAGCATATTGCTCCACACAGCACAGAGTATAGCAGTTATTATCAGGTATAAAGAAACACATGGATGTATTTAAATGTCTGGGTTAAGTATGTTATTCAAGTTTACAAAGCAGTCTTGAATCTTCAATTGCAGGCAGACACCTTGCAGGTGGGGTAAGTCATTAAATCGTGAGTCAGATGTCACAAAATGTCTGCTACGAATGCTGTAAACCACACAAGATACTGTTCAGTCTCAGTAGAATCTGTGTTCTCTCAGCATTGCTTTAAGCCACAACTTCCTCAAAGGACAATTGCTTGTGCTGTTTCTGTGTTTATGTATTCTTTATGTCCAGCTGCTTCTCTCAGGGCCACGGTTACAATGACTGGCTTGCCACTAATATCGTGCATGCTGAAAATCATCATCTTTTATTTTTATTATTACTATTTGACAAGCAGAGTGATAGAGACGGCCAGATAAAGAGAGATGTTCCGGTGCGGACGCAGTTGCGTGAGCGATTTCTGCTTCCCTCCGTGCGGTGGAGCAAGGCTTGTTCCTCTCCCACTCAGCCGCGCAGGTTCGACATTTTTTTTCCTCCCCAAGGTTGAATTGACCAAAGCAATGGTTATGGAGAAGCCTAGTCCCCTGCTGGTCGGGCGGGAATTTGTGAGACAGTATTACACACTGTTGAACCAAGCCCCAGACATGCTACACAGATTTTATGGAAAGAACTCTTCTTACGTCCATGGGGGATTGGATTCAAATGGCAAGCCAGCGGATGCAGTTTATGGACAGAAAGAAATCCATAGGAAGGTGATGTCACAGAACTTCACCAATTGCCACACCAAGATTCGCCATGTTGATGCTCATGCTACTCTGAATGATGGTGTGGTGGTCCAGGTGATGGGACTGCTCTCCAATAATAACCAGGCTTTGAGGAGATTCATGCAGACATTTGTCCTTGCTCCTGAGGGTTCTGTTGCAAATAAATTCTATGTTCACAATGATATCTTCAGATACCAAGATGAGGTCTTTGGTGGCTTTGTCACTGAGCCTCAGGAGGAATCTGAGGAAGAAGTAGAGGAACCTGAGGAAAGGCAGCAGACACCTGAAGTGGTACCTGATGATTCAGGAACTTTCTATGACCAGACTGTCAGCAATGACTTGGAAGAACACCTAGAGGAACCCGTTACTGAACCAGAGCCTGATCCTGAACCAGAACCAGAACCAGAACCAGAACCTGTCTCTGAAATCCAAGAGGAAAAGCCCGAGCCAGTATTAGAAGAAGCTACTCCTGAAGATGCTCAGAAGAGTTCTTCTCCAGCACCTGCAGACATAGCTCAGACAGCACAGGAAGACTTGAGGACATTTTCTTGGGCATCTGTGACCAGTAAGAACCTTCCACCCAGTGGAGCTGTTCCAGTTACTGGGATACCACCTCATGTTGTTAAAGTTCCAGCTTCACAACCCCGTCCAGAGTCTAAGCCTGAATCTCAGATTCCACCGCAGAGGCCTCAGAGGGATCAAAGAGTGAGAGAGCAACGAATAAACATTCCTCCCCAGAGGGGCCCCAGGCCAATTCGTGAGCCTGGAGAGCAAGGTGATGTTGAACCCCGAAGAATTGTGAGACACCCTGACAGTCACCAGCTCTTCATTGGCAATCTGCCTCACGAAGTGGACAAATCGGAACTGAAAGATTTCTTTCAAAATTATGGGAATGTGGTGGAGTTGCGCATCAACAGTGGTGGAAAGCTGCCCAATTTTGGTTTTGTTGTATTTGATGATTCTGAGCCTGTTCAGAAGGTCCTTAGCAACAGGCCCATCATGTTCAGAGGTGAAGTCCGTCTGAATGTGGAAGAGAAGAAGACTCGAGCTGCTAGGGAGGGAGATCGTCGCGATAACCGCCTGCGGGGACCTGGAGGCCCTCGAGGTGGGCTGGGTGGTGGAATGCGAGGCCCTCCCCGTGGAGGCATGGTGCAGAAACCCGGATTCGGAGTGGGAAGGGGGATTGCTCCACGGCAATGAATTGCCCATCGCTGATCATCACACAGCCGTACAAACCCCAGCTCCTGCAGAGTGGTGAATTTCTTCAACCAGCCTTTCTTGGAGTATGACCTAGTCTGTTATAAACTGCTTACGTTTGTACAACTTCACTTCTCTTGTGTTAATGGTGTGTGCTCCCTTTCCCTCCTTCTTCCCTTTAGTCCTTCACTTCCAATTTTGTGGAATGATATTTTAGGAGTAATGGATTTATAAAGAAGATAAAGACAAAAGACTGAATTTCCTTGCTTACACTTTGCATATACAGACTGGATTTTTTTAAAATAGCCATTTCCCCAAAGGAATGTGTCTTGCTTATTACTGACATTTGGTATGTTTCATTCATTGGAATATTTCTTATTTTCTACATGTTCCAGAAACCTGTGAGATACAGGATTTGATAAACATTTTGAAGGCAAGAAAAATCCAATTGTTCTATGAGAGTCATGACCTTCTGGTGTAGAAAAGTTGCCACTGAAAAATTTAACAAGTTTCATTTTCTCTAGTATGGCTAAAAACTGAATAAAAGGTGTTAATAGAGTTAATTTGTTTTGGTATGTGATCACAAAACAATTCTGAAACACTGTTTCTACCACTAAAACTTAAATTGTGAGATAGGTTCTAAATGTGTAGTATGCAACTGATGAGCTTTTCTTGAACTGTTAGAATTTTTTTGAAGTAGAATTTTTTTCATGTTTAATTTGTATTTGTAAAAAAAAAAATAGAAAACAAAAACAAAAAAAGTCCCGAAATCCAAATAACAAAAAACCAGAGCAAAACTGTTGTGCCTTCTCTTTGATTCCAGTCTTGACAATTGTTTAAACAAAAAATAAATTAAAAAAAATTCTAGATTTGTTTTTACCAGGTTAAGAGTATGTGGGAAATTGTAGAATCCCTTTATCAACACCTTGTTTGTTTGTCATCTGTTAACATTTGTTATGCCTTATTCTAAAATTGAGTCTCAAACTGGAATGCCTTTGAGGACAGATATTTCTATAGAGGTCCTTTGACCTAAATAGTTCTGCATTTGTATTAAGTTTTATTTTGATATCTAACCGGATTCCTAATCATAGCCCATAAGAAGGAATGTGACTTTAATATTGGACTTCACTGATATACTCGAGTGTCTGCAATTTTTTTTTCCTTTAAATCATAGCCATATGGTAAATTTTCTATTTTGTTAAGGTTCTCTTTTATTGATGGGCATGCAGTGGGTATTTCTTGGAAATGGCCAAATTTTTATTAAAATATTTCTGGAAGAAAATTTAAAAAAAAAAAAAAAAGAGAGATGTTCCATCTGTTGACTTACTTCCCAACCGCCCACAATGGCTGGGACTGGACTGGGCAAAGGTGGAAGTCAGGAACACAGTCTGGCCAGGTACCCCACAATGGGTGGCAGAGTTCAATGCACTGGTTACATCACCAGCTGCCTCGCAGTCTACACTGGCAGGAAGTGAGTCAGAAGTTGGAAGCATAGATCTCATGCATTTTGATGTGAGACACAGACGTTCTAACCACTAGGGCAAACGTCTGCTACCTGAAACACAGTTATTTTTTAAAAAACCACCCCTGACGATACTAATGTGTGGGAATATGGGAGAATATGTGGCTTAGGGTCATTCAGGAGCCCTTTAAATTATTCTTGATTTGCTTTTCTATCGCTAGACTACCCAAGTGGCAGAGTGAAGAGCAAGAGCTCCTCCCATGATAAGGTAACTATGGTATGCAGGCAGTTTCCAGAATTCTTGCATTTCTAAATTAAGAATTCATGTTCTCGTGGCTTTCTATTCTTCAATACATACTATTTGTTTAAATATGTTTTTTTCTCCACAAAAAATCTTCAAGTTAAGTCTGCCCTCCAAGCATACCACCTCTTCTCCAGTAGGCATAACAGTAGCATTGTGTTCAAGGGCTCAGGTGTGCACACTGATATACTCAGGTTGAAATTCTACCTCTGCTGCCTCTTACGCTTGTGTGTCCTATTCAAGCCTCTTTACCTGCCTTGGTTTTAGTTTCCACACTTATCAAAGGAGTTTTTGGGAGGATCAAATGTAATAAAGTGCTTTGAGAATGAGTCTGGGAAATGAATTTTCAGCTATGCTCATGTTGTGATGTTTTTATTAATGAGCATGTGTTTCATTCTGTGTTTTCCTGGAACTGGCAGAGCTGGTGCCCTTACATGCCTAGTTTTATGAAGACTGAAAGTGATGGGAAGAAGACGCACCAGAAGGTCAAAGAAAGCAAAGATAATGCAACTCAATCTGGAAGACAGAGCAGAGCAGAACCTCTTTTCCCATTTGCACCCCCATGCTCTTGGGTGTCCAGTTTGGGTGGCCTTTGTTGCAGGAGGCAAGGCTGGGGTAAGAAGGCAGGACAATGTTTCTAACTTGATTGTGCCTTCAATCTTGCCATTTTAGGAAGCTGCCCTTGGGTGATATTTTATCTCCTCCAGTGAATCTTGCTTATGGGATTTCCCATGGAGGTTTAAACTCTGAATAGATTCCAAGTTGCAAGACCTACCTGAATGCAAATGAGGACTGTGATCACTGAGAACCAAAATGTGCTGATTTAAGTTTACAAAGCTCATGTCAGTTGACCTAGCAGCTCTGCTGTGAGATGAGGTGGAACTTAAATGTGCAAAGTGTTCATTTTCTAGGCATCTGCCATTTGGACTCAGACTTCCCTGATGATGAGAGTCTTGTCCATCCCTTTACTATAGACAAGTGTTTGGGCCATGGCTGGCAATAAAGAATGATAATAATGCTTGTAAAAAGTCACCTTACATTTGTGTTGCATGCCACATTGAACAATGCAGTGTCATATCCATTATTGTATTTTATCCTTGAAGCAATTCAATGAACTGGAAAAATTACTGCAGCCTGAGATTAGGCATATTCTTTTTTTAAAAAAGATTTACTTATTTACATGAAAGGCATAGTTACAGAGAGGGAGAGGCAGAGAGAAAGAGAGAGAGAGAGAGAGAGAGAGAGAGAGAGAGAGAGAGAGGTCTTCCATCTGCTGGTTCACTTTCCAGATGACCGCAACAGCCAGAGCTTTGCCAATCTGAAGCCGGGATCCAGGTATTTTTTCCGGATCTCCCATGCAGATGCAGGGTTCCAAGGACTTGGGCCATCTCCTACTGCTTTCCCAGGCCGTAGCAGAGAGCTGGATTGGAAGTAGAGCAGCTGGGACTCAAACCAGCATCCATATGGGATGCTGGCACTGCAGGCAGCGACTTTACTTGCTAGGCCATAGTGTCGACCCCGATTTAGGCATATTCTTAAAGAACACGTGTTCACTAGCATCATTCAAAGTGTGTGCTCCTTCCATTCAGTGACTTCCTTTCTGTTCTCGGTATATATGCCCTGCTATTTAAGCTTTCACTTTTTTATTTATTTGAAAGGCAGAGTGGTACACAAATAGACTGGGAGGGGAGAGGGAGAGGGAGAGAGAGAGAGAGAGAGAGAGAGAGAGAGAGAGAGAGGTCTTCCACTGGTTCGCTCCCCAAATGATCATGATAGCTGGGACTGAGCCAGACTGAAACAGGAGCCAGGAGCTTTTTCTGGTTTCCCATATGGGTGCATGGGTTCAAGGACCTGGACCATCTTCCACTGCTTTTCCAGGCAGGTTAGCAGAGAGCTAAATTGAAAATGGAGCTGCCGGGACTCAAAGCAGTGCCCACATGCAATGCCAGTGCTGCAGGTGGCAGCTTAACCTGCTATGCCACAGCACTAGCCCCAAGACTTTTACTTTTTATAATAAATTTGTGTTTTTAACATTTTTTCTATCCTTTCCATGTATTTCTAATATCTTGGGAGCAGTAGTAAAACCCAGTTATTTAGAAGAAATGCATATACAAGAATGCACTCTTGACTGAATTTCTGTTGCAAATGCTCCCTATAGCAAGTGTTCACATATTAAGCCTCGCCCCTTCCCTCCCTTCACCTCCCCTTCCCTCCCCTTCTTTTCCCTCCCCTCCCCTCCCTTTGCCTTTCTTTCCTTTTCTCTCTCTCACTCACCCTACCTACCTCCATCCCTTCTGCTTCCTTCTCTCCCTTCTTCCTTTTGTTGTTAGAATAAAGCACTTGCGCTTATGGTTTGGATGAGGGAGGGATGAAGGTTGAGGAAGAGGATGAATTTGTACTAATCACAGGGAAAGAAAATATAGAAAAGAATATTTAGAGGTTAAAACCGGGGATCTGCATAGATAGGGATTCAAGGTGACTATGATTTTCTGGGACACATTTCTCTTGATGAAGCAATGTTATTAGGCTCTGATTGTGTAGCTTAAATTCTCTCTGTATACACAGTGATAGCTAGTATCAGTGAAAACATTTTTCCCCATAATTTTGTGTTAGGAAATGTATTCCCTCCCTAATTTTCGTTGTTAATGTTTATCAGGTGAATTAACATTTTCAAATGTATGTGTGTAATAAATATTGCACTGCAATTATCATGATACTTTTCCTAAATGACTCTGCCTTGTATTTCAAGATCTCTATTTTGCCAGATGGTATTGAGATCACTAATACAGCAGTCAGGAGTTCCCATACATGCAGAAATGTAACCAGAAGAAATGGGTGTTAACAGAGTGAGAATTATAGTTTTTGTACTTGAGAATTTTAGGGTCCTTAATGAGACACATATGCTTTATATATGATAGAATATGAATATCTTTTAAATTACTAAAGTAAGGTCAAACACATACCTGCCCCAAATCCTTATCACCATCATCATCAAATTTTAATAATTTAATAAGTAGGAGATTCTGAGTCAAAATCTAACATATGGTAGGAATATAAACCTACTTTTCTTACAGTTTTTAAAAATTTTTATTTAGGCTTAATTTACCAAATATTTTGATAAAGAAGAGGCCATTTAATTTTGCAATTAAAAATTTAGGTTCTGGAGCTTCAGGAGATGCCTTTGGCTCGTGTTCCTGATGCTCTCCCAGCTAAATTTCCTAGCATTGGGTATCTCTCCTATACAGTGGGAATATTGGTAATTAACAGAGTTTCTAAAATTATAAAACAAATTAAAAACTATGAAGTGCTGTGCAAAGTGTTTAGTATAGAGTTTGTATTTGGTAGATGGTACTGTTCCTATATTATTACTTATAATAACTGTAACTCAGTTGTATGAACCAAGATGTGTTATATCTCATATATTCTGGAATACATTTATTTTTTTCTCTGAGACAGTTTAAAAACAGTATTTTTCCTATCCTTATTAATTCATTCATTTGTTATTTTCTGGAGACCTTGCTGGCAGGTAGATTTAGAATAATAGGAAGCTAAGCAAAAAAAGCCCTACCTCTCACAGAAATTGTAGTCAGTAAAAGAAGTAGATAATAAACCAGCAGACCAACAAATCCATATTTATTTGTTTAGCAGCAGAATGCTAATTGGAGTTTCTTATCTAAGTCCATTGGAAGTAATGCTCTGAGCATTTCTCCTGTGATACAGAACAGAATAAGGAATTCTTGGCCCTTAGAAATTCCACTGTTGCACAAGGCAGCAGTGGTGGGCTCTGTGGTAACTGGCTG